TATATCAGACTAACCCTACAGAAAGATAATTGCAATCAGGTTATGGAAGTGAAGCTTGAGTGTAGTCGTCATTTGTTTTAGAAGCAAACTTTAATGATAATGCTATTTTTTGAAAGTTGCCATTATTGGAAGTTTTAAAAATTAGTCTTGGTTTTGGATCCTACTTGTTTATATTCTTCTTAAGTTTTTTCCTTTTTTCTTGTGACTTGTACGCAATTATGGGCTTATAAGTTATTTTTAACAATGGTGCTGTCAATTTTTCTCTCATCCGTTGTCTGTTTTATTTGTGTACCCCAGCCTGCCCAAATCCTTCCTTGGAATATGATAGATGTATTTTGCATCTGTACTGAATAAACAATCAATCTTTTAATCTGACATCAGAAAATTTTGGCTGGATGAATTTGTGAATCTCAGGATACTTTTTTCTTTTGTTTAGTGTTCATATCTTTGTGGCTTGATTTATTTGTGTTGATGCATACACTCTGCTTGCTAGAAGCTACTAACCATGGTACAAATATTTTGGTGGCAGAGTTGGCAATCCTGCTTAGGGGATCATTGACCTTGTTTTTGATACCCTAGAACAATGCTTAAAACCTATTGCTCATTCTTCAGACAAATCCAATATTCATGTGCTTGTCCTATTAGTAAAGTCTTTCCAGTTACTACCCCCCTGTCAACAAGAAGTTAAATGAATCAAAGTGGCCACGGCTTGGTTTTCAGTTAGTGATCTTGTTGTGGTTTAGGGTAAACTGCTATGCCAGAGTGAGGCTAAGTTGTTTTTTGCCACTTTCAGGTATTTTGTAGGGAATTTTTCACAGGGTGAATTTTGTTTCTTGTATTTGAATTGGGGAAGTGAAAGTAGTAGTGTGTTGTGGTCTTTTATGTGTTTATTATTTTAATATAATGGCGTGATTTGGAGACTATGTGGATGATGCTATCAAACAAGAAAAACTAAAATGTCCATAAGTTCTTATTAATTGGGCAGAAGTATTTATAGAAGGGGGAAGTTGGGAAGAAGTGAAGTTGCAGTTTGCGTTTCATTTTGCATGAAACCAATACACTTGGTCTACAGGTGAGTGTTGGGTATGCATTCATATATATTCCCTATAAATACTGACGCGTATACTTACCTGATAGGGTTGTGGCACATGCATCTAGTTGCCTGGCTGGAATGCAATAAGGTAGACAGGATGGTGTAATCTTTAGATAACTTTCATATTCTGTTATGTTTGGTTCAAGTGAAGCATAGATTTTGGTTCAAGAAATATGCTATGGTGCTCTCCTTTAACTAATCCAGCTCTGGGTGACCCAGCTGGTCTGACCTATATTTTCCCATATAGGTTTACATTTGACCCTCCTAGACTGCATTATAAGCTTCATGCTTCATGTGTTGGTTTCTTGTCTTGCTATATTGTTGCCTGCGTAGCCCTGGGTTGAAGCTTAGCAGTTTAACAATGTTGTGGTATTGTTATGAAGTGTGAAACTGTTTGATTATGGGCTATCCTATTACATTCCTGCATTATCTCATGCATATCATGACGCAGGTGGTCATGCCTTGATGGGTCACAGTCATTGCATGATGAGTGAGTTATGTTTCTATTTTAAACTCTTTCATGCTCTCTGCCCCGAAATAGAACCTATTAATTATTTTTTTGGTAATATTTAATGACATGTCTCCCATATCTTTATTTGAACTGTTACACTGTTTGATTAGTTAATTTAACTGTATTGAGCGGTGTGATTTAGTCTTCTTATAGAAATGTTAACATGGAATCTATATGGAGGAGTATAAATAGATAAGATGATTGTTTCTTGTGTCTGACTCAACCAGGATAAAAGACGTGTTTATTGTTGTAATTCTCTAGGTGTCCTGAAGGGCATCTCTTCTATGAAAAGTCAAACTAAGGGGTCATGCTGACCCTTGTAAATGTCAATGTTTTAGTTTTTCTTTTCAAATACATTACAAATATTTTGTTATGCATTTCTAACATTATTTTGGTGTTGCATAAGAGATATTATTAAAACTGTTAAATTTGCTTGAATAAGCTTACTTTATTATGATGATTGTTTTAAGTTTTATTTATCTAAATAAAGAAATACTTTGTGAACTTAGTTGAATTACATTGGTATTGTAATAATATTTACAATAATAGTTGATTTTTGTAATAGCCACTTTAAAAGTCCTGTAGGGTTTAATTTGTTGACAGTTTTACAAGTGCTTCAAAATTAGAATCATTTTATTAACAGCATAGGCTTTTAATTTGATCCTTCAAAATTTCTTGTGATCATTTAAGCCCTCCAAAGATTTTGTCAGCAAATTAATCTATGAAAAATTTAATTTGTTACCATATTAGTTTCCCAGATATTCTTTTTGTTATTTCTTCAGTCCATTTTAGACCACTGAGGTATTATTTAGTGATGGACTAAATCTTTGAGGTGTACTAATTTGGTGACTATGGGTAAGGGAGAGTATTTAAGGCAGGACATTGATTAGTTAGTTTGGGGTGCCTTTAAGGGGAAAGGAGGAATTCAGATGTGTATCGTTCGTAAATTGAGCATTAGTTGTTAGATATTGAGATAACTAGAATGCCATTTAGCTGTTTTTTTAGTGACTTTCTTATGATGATTAATGATATATTTACCATTTTCTTTCTGTCTTTCTTATTTCTTTTAAGACTATTCTCTGCCGAGTGAGGTATGTTGTTAATTTCTAGAACTAGGTGATAATCAATAATAATACCATCTGGGAGATTTATTTATGCTATTTTGTACCAGCAATTATAATGTATATGTATATGGACAGCTCCATTCATGACAACACATAATATTACTGTTCAAGTCGGATTCAGATTCTGCGTTTTTATATTTCTGCTATGACCAAAATCCAGTTATCTAACATGTTTGAAATGTATAAATTCATAATTAGTTTCAAGTGTTATTTGCTTGTTTAAAAGTTAATTTGGTGTAGTATTTAGATATGTTGTTCGCTGATGAACTGCAGGGAGATGATCCAGCACAGGCCATACACACAAAAGGTGGATGTATATAGCTTCGGAATTGTTCTATGGGAACTCATCACCGGTATGCTTCCATTTCAGAACATGACAGCAGTGCAGGCAGCATTTGCAGTTGTCAACAAAAATGTTCGTCCGATCATACCCAATGATTGCCTACCTGTTCTCCGTGACATCATGACAAGATGCTGGGATCCCAACCCTGATGTGAGGCCACCATTTGCTGAAGTTGTTGGAATGCTCGAGAATGCAGAGACTGAGATCTTGACAACAGTTCGGAAGGCCCGGTTCAGGTGTTGCATCACTCAACCAATGACTGCTGACTGATCCTGCGACTGCATATGCAAAAGTCATATAAACATAGACTGGAAAATTTGGGAGCAAGATGAAACTCTGGTAGTGAAGGGTGACTATATAATAGCTTTGTGTATTTGTGTGTTTTATTTATTTCTTCTGAAGAAAAAAAATGAAAATCTTATCTGGAGACCTTTTGCTTATTCGGTTTCTTATTACTGAATGTCTGTTCTGAATTAGTAAAGAGGAGATGGTGTATGTAATACATGCATGTTTTACAGTTATGTATAGCTTGAGTTCAGAAGGCAATGAGATCATGGCGAAAACTTTTGCTGTTTATGTCGCTTGCACCATACTACCCGCCTTTCGTTGGAACCGGGGCTTAAATTCAACTAGTTAACTTTTTCTTCTTACACCCCTAAATTTTTTTCTAAACATGATTTTGTTAGGAAGAAAGGTGGCCATTGAGTCGTTATGAGATTTGATTAAGATGTGAACTGTGTTTAAAGCTAACTAACGTGTAACGTTTTGTATTTTCTATGCAGGTGGATCTCATTGCCATTGGCGACTGTTATTTTTTTAGATGTTTCGCTGTTATGAATATACGCTCGTCCTTGAATTGAACTTTTTTGTTTACTTAATTATGGACTAAAGAAGAAGAAATATTATCCATCAAGTGTGATAAAATTATACTACTCGATTTATCTTTCGCTTCACATTTTATCTGACTGGTGAGTGCTTCTGAAGTCTAGAACATTCTTCATTCAATGATATTACTCTCTGTATATCTTAGCATCTTTTTCATGTATTGCATCACCCTCTTTTTTCCTTCGAAACAGCGTATTTCTTCAAACTTATTCTGATGCAGAACATTTATGTAGTGCAATTTGAATTTTAACTTGCTCAGAATTTGCCGTTATTTGCTAAGAAATATTTTCACCCTTGTTAGAACTTTAACTGATGCGACGCCAATCTTGTGAGAAAAGAAAAAGTTAAAGGTTAAAAGTAGATAAGAGGTAGTATAAGAAAAATACTCCTCACAAGATACGAAAGCACAAATGGTTTCCGATCAAAGATTTTTTCTGTGACGTTGCATTCTATTACCTTTCACTAAACTTTGGCCCTTTTTTATGCATTTGCCTCAGTGAACCTCTGAGAGTTCTTATGCATGTAAATATTTTTGTTCTAACCTTTATATATTGATAGTGGAATACTCAGTAAATCGCCAACCAAATAAAAGTATTTATGATGAAACCCCAAAATCTAAAGCTACTTGTCATTCTAGTGAGATGTTGGTAGATAAATACTCCATTTTGTTTGTATTAAACACGTTTAAATACCAATAACATGACATCTTTTTTATTTTAAAATGTAAAATAGTTTGAGATAAATCAATTATGAAAATAAAAATGATTATTTCATTAAATGTTTTAAGGCTTTAGGAAAATCAATTTATGGACATATAACATTTTTCATTCTACATAATTTCAACAATGCATTTTTATGTTTGACCTTTATCATTCATAAAAGCAATTAAGTAAATTAATAGATGAAAAATGAATAAGCGTAATTTACAGTCGGAAGTTATTGCATTTTCTTATGCGAGTGATAAAATTAACACTGGCCTTCTGGTAATGCATTAATGAAAAGTGTAAACCTTATCTTTGCAAAAGATAAATAGGCAATAAAATAGATAATGATTTTGGGAAGTTCTGATGAATTAATTTAAATAAGGGAATAAAATAGGAAGAATATGGCTAGACAAAAATGCAAGGTAAAAAACAAGCATCTAATTACAATTTAATTTCTAAAAAGTAAAACAAAAAGGTATAAAAGAACACAGAATTTTAAAAATAACTCTATCTGCTAGACTGGTTTGTCTTTAACTTCTGCAGTCCAGTAAGTTTTTTCAGCAACAAGAATCTTTTCAGGGTTGAAGGGTCCGCTTTCATGATCCATTATATTGCTTTTCCATCTCATTGAATCAGTAATGGTTTTAATCTTCACCAGAAGCTCCACTGTCTCTCTGAATATAGCAGTACCTTCAGGCCTCAAAATTCTATCCATCTCCAGTAATATAAGAGTAATGTTGCACCTTCCACACAATAATTAATCAAGTCAAAACCTCATACTGATATATGCCAAAAACAACATAAGCTAGAGAGTTCATTAGATAATGTTCACCTGTCCTGATATATGCCAAAAACATTAGCAGCATGGATGAGATCATACGTTCTTGGATAAGTTGAGAATCCTTCGCACCAATCTTGGTAAGTTCCAATAAAACCTCGTTCATAAATTGCACCGAGTGTGTCATGGTCTGAATTTGAGGGAACAACATTCATAACCCACACTGGATATTTCATTAAGGCTGCTGCAAACCCACCAAGATAAGCATTCATGTCCATCACGTTTCTATATTTTCCTTGGTGAAGAGGAACCAGATGCTTGTAATGTGCTATTCTTTCCCTCCACAATTCGTTGTCCTTTTGAAATTTCTCCTCATCGATGTTCGGGATTGAACCACTGCTAATTCGAGGAGGGACGGCAAATGCACGCTTAGGCCATTTTTCTAGTGCCCCACCAGCTATTTTGTCTGAGCTGCTAACTTCTGGCAATGGAGTTATGCATTTCTCCAAATCTTGGTACCTTTTCAATTCAATCAATCAAACAAAATAGCTTGAACAACCAAGAATTTTAATCATGTAATGAAGCTATCATACCCATTGTAGAAAGGACAAATCTTGGATGCAATAATCATAAAACTATTACTGCTATATATCATAACATGTTTTTCCATATGAACAAACGAAAGCATTGAGCTACTCCAAAATGAGATGTTGATTTTGACACACCACGAAAGTAGTTTCGGAACTGTAATAAATTTAGTTGCAATTGAAATTAGCTAAAGAATTACCAAGCCGTGTCAGCATTGTCGGATTGGCATATATGTGGTGTTTTATAAACCTGTTTGGTTTGTTTACATCCGACGTGGTTTTTAGGCTTTTGCCAAATGGATAAGTCATCCTTCTCAACCACTTTGGTCCAGCATATGCGTTTTGCCACTTCCTCAATGGAGTCTTGTTCCTGCTTCAAATCCTCTTGGGTCCTCTCCCACCCTCTCCAGTAGGTCTTCCATCGAATAGGTGGCCCAGAGAGAATCCAATAGCCACCAGGCCTCAGAATTCTATCCACTTCGATCAAGTACAAACCATCTGTGAATGGAAATTACACCATTTTAATATCTGTTTTCTTTACTTGAAATCAAACACAACCCATTTTTTAATTATAGTTTTTGAATTCAACCAATAAATTCTCCCATTTTATAGATCTTCTTGATTAGTAGTACCCTGTGAAAACAAAGGGCCATCATCATATGAGAAATACCATATTTTTGCCAAGGGATCAAGCAACGAGAACAATGAGCCATATCGAACGCCCTTGCCGGGTATGGAGTTCTCTGTGAAGCCATGACACCTATCATTGCTGGAACTCCTCTTTCCAATGCAAACTGGACCTGAGCTTCATGTGTATCCCTTGGTGCAAAGGACATAGCTATGATGTCCCTTTTCAAAAGATAAGCACCCCAACTTGCAACCTTTACAATTCAGATGTGAAAGAAGGAGTTAAGAATATAAACAACACATCCTTCACACCAAAAACAAACATACATGATCCTAAGGTTTAAGTTGAATTTGTTGAATGAACTTCATTGAACAAAAGCAAATAGTATACACACGGTGAAGACTTTTACAATACGATGATAAATAATGTAGAAATTTTATATTGAGAGCGCATAGAAATTAGGCTAAAGATTTGTTTTTGGATGTGTGCTTTAGGATTAAGATAGAGTAACTTACACCACACCCGGTATCAATTGCAGTTCTGATAGTACCGGTGGTGAGTGGAATAAGCTCATTAATGTCATCAATGTATGCATCAGCTCCACGTGGAAACATGGTACCTCCTCCAGGGAATCTGAATCTGTCACCTTCAACTTGAATCCAGTTTTGAATGGCTTTCTCAATGCTGAGCTCTTTGTGTGGAATATTGTCATACCAAGCATAATCTCTGCTTTGAGGCCATTTGAAAGGTGGCTTATACTTTGGTGGAGCTGGTATAAGACAAAATAATTGTTCCTCTTTGCTGGGGCAATGCCTCTCCCTATACTTCAACATATTACGGTCAAATCTTCGACCCCTATCTCGATCTTGGCACGGAGTGTACTCACTGAGTGATATGTCACATGGTGGGATATCTTGTGTCCCTCCAGAATTTGCTATATCAATTTGATGATGACTTTCAAATTCTAAGTTTGTTGTTGATGATTGAACTGCTGAAGATGAAGATGCAATGCCTGGTGAACTTGACCCAACATTGCAGTCTACTTTGGAGTAGATATCAGATTGGCTATTGGGTGTTGGAGTGTTCCTCCATGCACCCATTACGTATGATAAAATGCACAGTCCACTCACCCCTAAAATCCATGTCAAACGGTTTCTCCTTGTTTCAAACGGAGTATGAGGTTTTGGTGATCCATCCTTCCCCATTTTCCCTTCTGCCTTTTCACCTCTGACCAAATTTTCAAGTAAAGGAGTGATATGAGTTTATTACGGTCACAATTGTTTGAGATACATGAAGCTGCAACAACAATAACAATGGAATGTGTTAGCCACGTATCCATTATCATTTCAACAGTGAGAAAATGGATTCTGAAATTTAGCAGCAGCATTCTTCTGCCAAACTACCTTCACTATTATTTTGTGTGTATATCAGAAACTACCTTCACTGATATAGTAATCACATTATTTAATATACACAGTGAAGGTAGTTTCTGAAATGGTTAATCTCAAAGTACTGCAATAAACTTATTTAATATAGTAATTACATTAAGAGGGAAAGTGTAGAAGTAATTTATATGAAAAAGTGAAAAAGAAAATATGAGAAAGGGAACAAAAGAACACACCTGAAAGTTTTGAGTGAAATATATAGTGTTGATATTCTACACTCAGAATGCAAAGTTGCTCATATAACTGGGGATCTATTATTCTATCCCATTTATAAATAATCCATAGATGAGAAGGTTTTGAAGTGAAGACAAAAGCAGCAAAGGAAAAGAAAAGAAAAGAAAAGGAGAGTGAATTTGTTGTTGTTTAGATAGCAAAGGTGGTGTTGAGAAGAGTGGAAGAATGTGTGCATATATTATATATGAAGATGTTATGAAACAAAAAAATGGTTGAAAATAAAGGAATGTGGGGTTTGTTTGTAGCTTAATTTTGCATCTTCCATTGTCCCCTAGTTTGTAGTTCATCCAGAGAAATGAAAGAAGAAAAGAAAAAAATAAAGTTGGATTTGGTCAAAACACCTTTTTGTTGAGATGGCAAATGATGAGACATGGTAGCCTCCTTTTACTCTTCTGTCACTCATTCTATCAAGATTGATTATTGTTTGTTGCTTTAATACAAACACATGCATATGCAATATATAATAATATATAATAATTAGGTTCATGTTTAATTAATTTTTATCCCTTTCATTCTTATCAACAATTTTATTTAATTTGGATCTTCGAATAAGAAAAGTACTAAAAATATGTATCTAACTCGCAATATGAATCTTTGTTTAGTGTTATACAATGGCATGTTAGGCCAATTTCAATCCAAATGGTCAACCAAATTCAATAAATTCAACATTTTGGCTTAAACAATTAGCTTGATATTTTAGTCTCATGACTGGTAAAAAAGACTAGGCTAAGAAAAGTTTATACTATAATAAAAAATTTCATAAATTTATTATTTTATGATTTTATATTAAAAGAAGTGTCAACCACTTACTTAAATTAGACTGAGTTATATTTATGTAATCTAAAATGACTTTTCTATACGTAACAATAATGATTCGTGATTTTATTTCTTTCGAACGAAAATTTAGTCATTGTAATCGGGGTTTGATTCTACCTTTACGAATTAAATGCTTCAAAATTCAAAAACAAGTAAAGTAGTTATACATTTTAGTCCATAATTCAAAATATCGTGATATTTAAATGATAGTATTAATGTTTTTAGATTAAAGAGCGGAAAAGGCAGTTAAATTAAGACTGGACATGTTTGGTAAAACACTTAGCTGGTAAATGAACTAATATCTTACAAGTTTATAATATGTATAATAAAAATAGATAAAATAAGTAATAAATATAATAAAACAAATTTTATTACGTAAATAAAGTTTTTAGTTTTATACTAAAATATATTATTAGGTAATTATAATTTTAGATTAAAATAAATAAATTATTATTAAAAATTAGTGCTTTTATTTATTTTTATCTGGACAAGTAATTTATTTAAACTGACTCATCTAATGAGTGTTAACCAAATTTTATTTTTTTATTTTTATTATTTTTTATTTTTCAATTTCGAATACTACGTTAAGTTTTTTTTTTATTTTACAAATTTCATTATTTGAAAATTTTTATACAAAAAAAATGTAATAAGACATTAGTGATGGAATATATGAAAAAAAATAAAATTAAAGATAATAATAAGTAAAAAAAATAATAATCAAAAGTATATTAACATATAGGTAATAAAATGAATTGAAGAAAAAAAAACTACATTTCAGAGAAACTAACTAAAATAACTTGTACTCTATAAGTCAGAAATTCATAAAATAAATTACTTTTAAGTTAAGGTATGTTCCTAAATATTTCTACGATAATTAAATTAATTTAAAATTTAATAAAAACAAATAATAATTAATTTTCTGATTTAACCAAACATAATATAATTTTATTTTTTACTTTTTCATTTTCATGCATTATGATGACAACGTGTATTACCAATTAGATAGGTCAAAATATTATATTAGTGTTGATTGAGTTACTGGATTAATAATCGAATTATATATATATATATATATATATATATATATATATATATATATTTTTTTTTATATATATATTTATGTGTTTTTATATTTGATGCTTGTGTTATTTAATATTTATTTTTACGTA